TTTTACATTGTTTCTCTTCATTTCCATCTCTCAGTTTCTTTGAACAAATTCTCTTAATTCTGAATTAAATGTAACTTCTTACATTAAGAACTTTTGAGATAACTGTGGTAATTCAAATGGATCCTATAGAAATATATCATGTCCTTTCAGGTCGTGGGCGATCATGTATCTCCACAACTTCCTATCCTTTGTAATTAAATCATGTCTTTTCATTATCTCTCCCAATCCCTATTCTGCCATCCATTTACACCAATTTGTTAGATCAGTTGCTTGAAGTTTCTGAAGTCCCTCTTATGTTCAATATGCCTTGTGAGTCTCACATTTTCCAATCCCTCTTTCCTCATTATGCACCCTAAAAATTACAACTGTCTCTTTCTGATTCTAAGTATTAGTGTTTTTTTTTGCTTTCATTTTCTTTAAAACTACCTTGTTACTCACACATGGGATTCTCAGTATCTTTCTGTAGAACCACATTTCTGTTGTCTTAAGCCTCTTCTTAATCTGTGAAGAGATTGTTCAGCATTTATTTCCATAGAGAAAGCTTCTAAAACTTTAGCACACATTTCTTAATTTCTAACAAAATTTTTGTGTTTCTGAATATTTTGCTTAGCTTTGGTAAGGTATCTTTCACTATTCCAATGCGCTTTCGAATTTTGTTGTCGTCAAAGAAAGGCAACCAATTACCAATAAAATTTATTTCTGTCTAGATGCATATATGTTAAAATGCTTTTGGACTGTAAGGTATGTTTTGCAACATGACACTGACAACTTTTTGAAATGTCAACGAACACTCGTTGACACTTTTGTAATGTCAAAGGATATTCATTGTTACTTTCATAATGCTCATTGTAGTAGAGACTTTGTAATCGCAGATACAACTATAGTAACACTGTTGAACATTACTCACACCAGATGCCTTTGAATAACACTCACACTAATAATACCTGCTTGATAATACTTGTTCGAACAGTAACCACTAAATAGTGAACCAAATAGTAATCTGTATAGTGAACAATTAGATGCCATGCTAATTCCCATATATACATTTCCTTTACCATCACTTATTCAAAATGGGGTTGCCTGTGTTTGCTCTCTGGTGATCTGTGTTCAAACTCTAGTGTCAGTAGCGACACTTTATTCCTATATAACACAAATATTCCACCGTAAGAGCATATAAAGACACATTCGTTTAAAAAATTGCACTGAAAACATTTCATTAGCTGTGTGTTAACTTTCTACCTTCTTTCCTTGAGAATTAACCAATGATGGTTGAAAGTAGACAGGAGATAACACACAATTTTACAAGTATGCTACTGACATCTAAAGAGTTATATGACTGCAAGAGAAATATTATATCACTAATGCTAGCGAGCAATGGTTATAATTTGACCTCAGACTGCCACCTCTACCAATCCTGACACCATATTATTATTATTATTATTATTATTATTATTATTTCTTTTGACTTGATTATAGTTGTAAACACATTTCCTTTCATGTCCTAATCAGAGACTTGATTTTAGACATGGAGTCATGTCATTTTACATTGAACATTTATTTAAAAAAATAAAACATTAGACACCCTAAAAACACACACATTTTACATAGATAAATCTCTTTGTAAGGTATAAGCTGTTCTTTATTTAAAGCATTTCACCCCAAGAAAAGCAGGAGTGCCACTAGCATGCAAAGAGTTACAGAGAGTGGGAGAGAGAGAGTGAAAAGATGTGATTAAAGAAAGGATAAAGAGAAGGATGCGGAATTAGATCAAGGCATCAGAAGATGTCGACTGATATTACATTTGAATATTTGAAGATTATAACTGTCAGGGAGGAAAGTAAGAGGAAGGGAGTTCCACAGACAAGATGTGTGAGATATGAAGCTATTGGAGTAGAAGAGATGACTACATTTAACTGTGTTGACAGTGAAAGGGTGCCAACCTAGTAACACATTTAAATTCATGCAGTTTGGGAACCAGTGAAAATTTGTTCATTGGAGCAGTTATCATGGAAGTACTTGTAGAAAAGGCAGAGGAAAGTATGTGAGAAGAATTGCTTTGTATTTATTTAAGTCAAGGGTAATAGGGATCCTTTCAATGATTTTATCAGAATCTTTTCCAATCAACTGCAGAGCTCCAATCACAAATGGAATTATCAATGTCTTCATTTATAAGATTTCCACTTCAAGATTCTTGTATTTTGATAGGTTTTTTGAAGATCTTCAAAGATTCCTTAGATCCTGCAGGAATTGCTATATCAATAAGAAAGCACATCCTGTTCTTATTTTGTCTTTGATCACTATGTCTGGGTGATTAGCTTTGATTGTACTGTCTGTGTACGTTGGACAGTCCTATATAATTGTTACAAATAATACAAAATTCTTATAAGTTTTATGTGTTCATACAAATTTCTTGCCATTTCCTTTCCATAAAATTTCTGATTTCCCAGTACAGATATTGAACCACCCTGTCATGCCTAGTTTTATATTTACTGGGTGCTAATACCATGCAACTTGATACAAGGTGGTCAATTGTTTCTGGATATTCATCACAGAATATTATTATTATTATTATTATTGTTTCCTTTGATTTCTGTTGTATACTCATTTCCTTCCAGCACACTGATAGATATAAGGTTTGAAGTGGCATCATGTCATTTTCTGTTTCACATTAAAAAAAAAGCAGAAAAAGCAACTACTTATAAATGCATACACCTTTTACATAGATAAAGCCCTTCGTAAGGTGCGAGCTTGTCTTGTGAGAACAATATTGTGTATTTGTTTAAGACATGAACATCAGAGATACTATCAATGAGTGTATCAGAAACTTTTCCAATCAAATCCAAGTCCCCAACCACATCTAGAATTATTGATGTGCGAGTCTTTTTTGAAATTTCAACTTCAAGATCCTTGTATTTTGATAGTTTATTAAAGATCTTACAGTCTGCAGGAATTCACAGGTCAATTAGAAAGCACATTCGGTTTTGTAGTCTTTGATTATTATGTTTGTTTGTATTATAAAGTCCAGTAAAATTGTTACAGCTCCTATGATAATAGCCGTGTCCGACTGGTGTTCAATACCAATTTCATGCAGTTTCCTTTCCGTTAAGTTGCAGATTTTACACTGTAGATATTGGCTCACCCTTATCATACTGAGTAACATATTCGTTATTAAACATGTTACAAATGGTCAATTGTTTCTAGATATTCATCACAGAATCTGCATTGTCATTATTATTATTATTATTATTATTATTATTATTGTCATTATTATTATTATTACTATTATTATTATTATTATTATTGTTATTATTATTATTATTATTATTGTTATTATTATTATTATTATTATTAACTTACTCCATAAATGGCTTCATGTGTCCATTAATTTTTTAGTAAAAAAAAGAATTATTATTATTATTATTATTATTATTATTATTATTATTATTATTAACTAATCTCAAAATCATAAATGATCTATAATTTATTATGAGGAAAAATCATAAATGGCAGAAGAAAATATGTCTTATTATTATTATTATTATTAATTATTATTATTATTATTATTAACTGTCCTGGTTTTATGTCCTACTGATAAAAAAAAAGAACAAAAATCATAAATGAAGGATAGAGTAAAAAGGAATTAATAAATTATTATTATTATTATTATTAATTAATTAACAAAGAAAAAATCATAAATGGCTTCATGAATGTCCTACTGATAATTTTAGAAAAAAAGAAATTAATTAATTAAATTAAGAAAGAAAAATAAATGGCTTCATGATTAAATTTTTAAAAAAAAGAATTAATTATTAATTATTATTATACTAAGTACCTAAAAATCAAGAAAATTTTAAGAAAAAATATGTCCCAAAAAAAAGAAAGAATTATTAAAGAAAGAAAAAAACTAAAGAATAAAATGGCTTCAAAGTCCTAAAGTAAAAAAAAAAAAAAAGAAATTATTATTATTATTATTATTAAATTAACAAGAAAAAATCATAAATGGCTTCATGATATGCCTGTTTTTTTTTAGTGGCTATATTAATTATTAATTATCTATAATTATTATTTAATTATTATTAAAATCTAAAATATTTTGTATGCCAGTTTTTTAGTAAAAAAAAATTAGAGATTAATAAGGTTTTAGTGATACAAGTCCTACTATAATTAACCCAAAAAGAATTATTATTAGAAGAATTGGATACCCATTATTCCCAAAGGTATTCACATTCAATTATTATTATTATTATTATTAATATAACTTAACCTACCTGATATGTCCTACTGAATTTTAGAAAAAAATTTTTATTATTATTATTATTATTAAATTATTATTATTATTATTTTATTATTATTATTAACTAAGTACAAAATCATAAATGGCCTGATATGTCCTACAATTTTTAGTAAAAAAAAATTATTATTATTATTATTATTATTATTATTATTATTATTATTATTATTATTAATTACCTAAAATCATAAATGGCTTCATGATATGTCTCACTGATAATTTTAGTAAAAAAAAGAATTATTATTATTATTATTATTATTATTATTATTATTATTATTATTATTATTAACTAGATAAAATCATAAATGATCAATATGTCCTACTGATAATTTTTAGTAAAAAAAAATTATTATTATTATTATTATTATTATTGATTATTAAGTTATTATTATTAACCAAGTACCTAAAATCATAAATGGCTTTATGTCCTACTGATAATTTTAGTAAAAAAAATTATTATGATTATTATTATTATTATTATTATTATTATTAAAACCAACACACTACCTAAAATCATAAATGGCAATATGTCCTACTGATAATTTTAGTAAAAAAAAAAATTATTATTATTATTATTATTATTATTATTATTATTATTATTATTATTAACTATGAAAGAAAATTAAAATTATTATATTATTATTATTATTATTATTATTAAATTAAAAAAAAGGAAAGATTATTATTATTATTATTAAATTCATCAGATCTATAATTTATTAAAAAGAAAAGAAGAAAAAATTATTTCCCAAAGAGGGAAAAGAAAGAAGAAAAAAAGAAGAGGAAAAAGAGAAAAGAAAAAAAAAGAATGATCTAGGGAAAGAAAAAAGAAAAGAAAAAAGAAAGAATAAAGAAAAGGGAAAAAGAATAAAAAGAAAGAAAGAAAAAGAAGAAGAGTGTCTATAAATTTAATGCTGAAATCTAGAAGAGGGAAAAGAAGAAGAAGAAGAGGGGGATTTTTCCCAGAGGAAGAAGAACCTAAAGAAGAAGAAGAGGGAAAAGAATTTTCCATTAAGAGGGAAAATCCGAGGAAGAGGGTCAATCTAGATACTGATAAGAAGAAGACTGGGAAAATGAAGAGGAAGAAATGCAAAAAAGAAAGAAGAATGAAAGAAAAGAAGAAGGAAAGATATCAGGAAAAAAGAAGAAAAGAAGAGGAAGAAGAAAAAAAGAAGAGGAAAAAAAAAGAAAAGAAGAAGAAGAAGAGGGGAAAAGAAGAGGAAGAAGAGAAAAAGAAGAAGAGGGAAAAGAAGAGGAAGAGGGAAAAGAAGAGGAAAAGGGAAAAGAAGAGGAAGAGGGAAAAGAAGAAGTCCTTTCATTTAAGCGTGAGTGAAATAGAAAACTTTGTGAATTTTGTATCTTTTCATTTGTACCCACTTCATAAAATAATCACCTGCATTCATAAACATGATTGTTATTTGAATGTTTTCTTAGCGTTGTTAAGCTCAAAAATGCAAACGCAGTAGCGGAATTCAAACGCAACATATTCAAGCATTAAATTAAGAATTATGACATCAGAAATTTCAAAGCAAAAAAAAAAAAAAAAAAAAAAAGTGGATTTGTCATGATTTTCTTCTTCTTTTTCTTTTTCTTCTTTTCATTTTGTACCCACTTCCTTTCTTCTTCTTCTTCTTCATGATTGTTCCTTGAATTCTTCTTCTTCTTCTTCCTCCTTCCTCCTCCTCCTCTTCTTCTTCTTCTTCTTCCTCTTCCTCCTCCTCTTCTTCTTCTTCTTATTATTATTATTATTGGTATTTTGAAGGGAAAAGATAGTTTCATTGAGACAACAAACATTGACACATCATTTGAAATCAATGACATGAGAAGGTGGCGTAATGGTTTGTGGCTCAGGCTAAGGAAATAGAGAGCCAAGTTCGAATTCCAATCGGATCTGTTACATTCATTTATATGCTAATACCTTTGAAAAAAGGTATGAATCCTCTTCTTTAACTCCCAGTTATGACCAAATAGCAAGACAGACTTGGATGGCAACTGATCTACCTTAGAAAGAAATGGCAACCTACAGTAGGAAAAAAAATCTGCCTCGTCAGTCATGTATTAAAAGATACATGATCGCCTAAGTGTGTATCACGCATGGCACATAACTGATATGAGAAGTGGTACCTGGTGGAATGATATTGAAGATTTTCTGGCTCTGTAGGTTATTAAAGTTTTTGTAGAAAACCTAATTCTTGTTCCACATTATTTTACTTTTGGTTTATGGCCAGCTGATTTGGTACCTTGCTTTTTATAAAAAATAGAATATATAAAATAGATATCATTTTCTTTCTTCTTACGTGAGATAGAGTGTTATTCACATGAATACATATCAAAAATCCTCCAAGTGTTTAAATTCATTTCTTTTGAAAATGCTGAATTCATTTCTTTAGAAACTATTCAACCTCATCATCACAATCCATAAACAACTGCATCCATTTTAAAAGTAGCACTTCCTACTAAACACTTTTGACCAACAACAACATCGTCCATGTTGAACATATAGCACTGACATTGGTTCCGATCTTTTATGCTGTCAAATACGGTATTTCAAAAGAATAATTTCTGTTGAATTTCTAGGATAAAGAATAATCATTATTGACATGATTTACAATCGGACTAATATCCTCATCTTGAATCAGCAAAAGAATATAATTTACATCTTTTAGAAATTAGAAGAGAGAATTTTCTGTTAGTTGACATGTCACTGGTTGAGTCAATGATTTTCACTAGAGTTAAATTGCTTTTGTAATTTTTTGTAATGTACTAATAACCTGAACTAAACATTACACACTTAAATACATTAAAATCAATTTTCCTGAGTTTAGTTTGGTTTGTTTTGCGGCATATCAACCTCAATGGGTTATTTAATGCCGACAAAATTTTTATTGCTGATGACTTTTTTTTCTTCAAAAATTTATTTCTGTTTATTTTTTTTCTTCAAAATAATATTTCTGTTAATTTTTTTTCTACAAAAATGTATTTCTGTTAATTTTTTTTCTTCAAAAATGTATTTCTGTTAATTTTTTTTCTACAAAAATATATTTTTGATAATTGTTTTTCTTCAAAAATGTATTTGTGTTAATTTCTTTTCTTCAAAAATGTATTTCTGTTAAATTTTTTTTCAAAAACATATAGCTGGCAATAACTTTTTTTCCAAAAATGTATTGCAATAAATTCTTCTTTTTTTTTTTTTACAAAGTTTTTCTGGTATTAAAACCTATTTTTACACTTTCATAATGTTTTGACCCCAGTTTGGAGGTTAACTATTTGCCCATAGTTAGGACCCTAACAGATGCTACCACCCCAGGTCAGAGTGGAACTGGGAACACCAGCAATTAAGAGGCGGTGCCACGCTCCTCAAAACCTCTCGATCAGAGGCCTTGCTGTTGGACGCAGTTTATTGTTTTAGCCAGGATGCGGATGTAGTTTATCATCATACCCAGGACAGCCTGAGTTTAGCCTACTGAAATTGGGATGTATCTTTATGCATATGGAATTGAGGTCAGCTCCAAGAAATCCATAGTAATGGTGAATAGCACAAACAGTAACACCTGTGTCAAAATTATCATGAATGGGAATTTGCTGGAGGAAGTGACCAGTTTTAAATACTTAGAAGCAGTCTTTTCTAAAGATGGTACCTGCAACCACAGCCATGGCAGCAAAGTGACAAGGACATGGAGGAGTAAAATCAGCTTTCAAATGAAGTACAGGCTATAAAAATCGTTGGTACTCTCCATTCTCCTATATGGATATGAAACATGAACACTGTTGGCAGAAACAGAGAGAAGGATCCAAGTGTTTGAGGATAAATGGCCTCTTCTATTGGGAACATAAAACCAATGAGATTGTGCAGAAAAGGGTTTAAAGTTTTGTGGGCCACCAGGAATCTCTTCTTGCCACTGTCAAATGGAGAAAAAACGGCATGGTTTAGACACATTAGAAAGCACCATAGCCTGTGTAAAACTATCATGCAAGGCACTGCTGAAGGTGGATGTAACAGAGGGTGCCAATGCAAAAACTGGTTAAACAATGTCAAACACTGGACAAGTATGACTATACCAGAATTGCTGATGGCTGTCCTTGTTAGACAGTTGTGGAGGAGATTTAGTGTGGCTTCTGGATTCAGACCCCCACCTATGATTAAAAGAGTCAAAGAGATGAATGATGATAATGATAATGACGATGATATTAATAATGGACACTTTAAAGTATGGGTCTTGAACAGATTTGGCCCAAAATTTCTAATTTAATGTGATTACCCCGACCCATGAAAAAAACTCCAACATTATTGGCCCTGACCAATGTAATGTAATTCTCATACCTTTTCTACAAATATTTTCATGGGAATTGTTCTGACAAGGTGAACCCTTTGGTATCTCAACTTTATGAATTTAAGTGTAGTACTAGATTGGCAATTAGGTCTCATCATTTTACTGTTGAAACTGCTATATGTAAATGTTAGTTCTAGTCTACTATTTTCTTCTCTCACACTTCTCACTTGTGGAAGTCTCTTCTAACTTCTAGCTTTCCTGTCGACTAAGACCATCAAAAATTTAAATTCAAGATAAATCATCATCTTTTGCCTCCTTGAATCCTGCTCTTTTTATTGTCCTTTCTACACAATAACATTTTCATATTTTCTTTCACTATGTCATCTTTCATCTTTAATAACCCTATGAATCTTAGTGGCTTTAAAGCCAGGCATGGGGTGAAAAGATTATAGATATATATAGAGTAACATGATAACCTTCAGAGCCAAAAGATATAAACAAAATGTACACATAAGCAAAATTCACAAATTTGTTTTTACTGTTACAAAAATTTTATACAAATATGTTATGATCCAGAATGATGATGATATTTCATTATTCTAAAAACAACCTTTCCACCTGTGATGATTTTCTTATAAGGATATTTCATCATCCTGAAAATAAAGATCGAATATTTCATCATTCTAAAAATCTGAAAGTTCATCTTTATAAAAACAATCTTTCCACCATGATCAGTAGCAGTAGCAGTAGTAAAAAGGAACAACACAGATGTATCACCATTGCTCCATGAAAATCAACAGTTGCTGGTCTCAAAGGCTACCCTTAACAACAAAATTCTCAGAACAAGTAAAAACAAGTAAGCACAACCTTTTAAAGAAACAAAAGAGACAATAACACTGAGAAGATTTTTAACACACACAATACCAATATTGTAATTAACACCCACAACATACCATCAAACCCCATTACAAATATTAATATGGAATGTTTGTGAGGAAAATATTTAAGAATTTACATAAATTTGGTTAGAGAGATTCCAGTATCATATACACATTATTAGAATATATTTTATTTTTATTTTTATTGAAAATGATTTATAAGATACAATGCCCTGACTGAGTGGATCTAAGGTTAAAATAAACTTATAATTTATGGAGAAAAATAAATTTCAAACAGCATATAAAAATTTATATTACATTATTAATCTGCAAAGTTTCAGACTTTAAGCATGTAATAGTTATTTAGTTATAAATGTTATATTCTTCAAGTAAAACGTTTTAAGACAGAGCTGAGCATTTTCCTGTTGAATATGCATTTTATTTATGACTACTTGATCGATAGTAAGAGTGATGGCCTAAGATGTGAATTATGAATTGGAAACATCAGAATGAAGCAAGTATGGAAATTTAATTATTTAGGATGTGTTATAAGAGAAAACAGAAAATGTGTCACAGAAATCCAAAGGCACATTGCAATTGAAAAGTGCTTTCCAAAAGCTAAGCAAATTATTAAGAAACTGAAAAGTTTTCATGAGAAATTAAGAAAAGTGTTCTAAATTTTTATATAATAGAAGCCTCCTCTATGGAAATTAATGTTGGACAATCTCTTCACAGATTAAGAAGAGGCTTAAGACAACAGAAATGTGGTTCTACAGAAAGATACTGAGAATCCCATGTGTGAGTAATGAGGTAGTTTTAAGGAAAATGAAAGCAAAAAAAAAAACACTAATACTTAGAATCAGAAAGAGACAGTTGTAATTTTTAGGGTGCATACTGAGGAAAGAGAGATTGGAAAATGTGAGACTCACAAGGCATATTGAACATAAGAGGGACTTCAGAAACTTCAAGCAACTGATCTAACAAATTGGTGTAAATGGATGGCAGAATAGGGATTGGGAGAGATAATGAAAAGACATGATTTAATTACAAAGGATAGGAAGTTGTGGAGATACATGATCGCCCACGACCTGAAAGGACATGATATATTTCTATAGGATCCATTTGAATTACCACAGTTATCTCAAAAAGTTCTTAATGTAAGAAGTTACA